AAAAAAAAAAAAAAAAAAAAAAAAAAAAAAAGAGTATCTTGTCTTTTTAAATGTGTCTATCTTTTTTTTCTTTTTTTTTTTTGTTATTGTTTTTTTTTTGCTTTTTTTTTTTTTTTTGAGGAGGGTGTTGGGAGTTTCTGGTGGGCGGTGTCTGTGTGTTTGTTTATTTGTCTGTGCTGCATGCTTTTCTTACGGAGTAGTCGTTCCATCGGACGTTGTTTTTATTGCCGTGTGGATTGAATGAGTTCTCCGTCTCCTCGTTTGCCCGTTTTAATATGTTTTTGATGGAGGGATGTGGAGGGTTCGGTGGTTTCTGCCGTGCCGCTCCGGGCCTTCCTCCCCCTCACCCCCGAGATCCGCCGATTCCTTTCGCGACTCCCACATTTTGATGTCCACGCGGTTCTCATGGGCCTCACGTAATAAATTCTTTTCTGCCTGGAGCGGGGGTCATGCACGGTGAGGAATGGAGCCGCCCACAATCGCCCGGCTCCGCAGAACGAGGGAATGATGTTTTTTCCCCCCCCACTCCCCCCACCCACTTGTGCGAGCAGCCAATCAAGAGAGCGATACACTCACTCGCAAGAGGAAAGCCAACGAAGGAGTGTGCATGTGGAGGACGAAAACACACACACAAACAGATACAAGTAAAAGATACAAGTAAAAGACAAGACAAAAAACAAACAAACAAAAAAACAACAAAAACAATCAAACAGAGAAAAAACAACAACAACGAAAAATAATAACAAAAGTTAAAAAGAGACAGAACGAAAAGAGCAACAACGACAAAAAAAAAAAATGAAGAAATAATCTATATCCATTAAGTGAGAAAAAAAAAAGAAAAAGTGTACATATATATATATAAAGGACGGATAGAGAAGAATAGGCTCTGGATGTCTTTTGATACATATTTATGTATATGCTTATCTATCTATCTATATATTTATATCTCAGCGGGGAGGGGAGGAGGGTGGAGTCATGTCTGATGTGAGGGTGTGAAGGTACACGCACACACAGAGAGGAAAAAAAAATGTGTTTTAATTTTTCCTTTTCCTTTTCCTTTTTTTTTTGTCTCTTTTCTTTTTTGATTTACTTTTTATATTTACCCTCTTATCTACCTAAATACCTGCATAGCTGCATACCTACGTATCTATCTATCTATCTGCATACCTATACCTATATATGTATATGTATGCAGGTAAGGATGGATATTTATTTATTTTGTTTATCATGTCTGTGAGCGATGTAGTCTTTTTAACGCAAGAAAGAAGAAGAAGAAGAAGAAGAAGAAGAAAAAAAAAATAATTATATATTTATATATCTATATGTGTCTTTGGTGTTTAACAGATTTATATGAATCTCTTTGGCCTTTTTTTTTTTTGTTTTCTCCAGTTATATATATATATCTACATATATGTATATGGTGTTATCTCCCCTTTCCCCCACTTTTTTTTTTTTTTTTTGCGGTTGTTTTCATTTTACTTTTCTGCGCTTTTTGGTTGGTTTGTTGGTTTTTTTGGTGTTTTTTTTGTGATTGTCGGTCGGTGCCTGCGGGCCCTCACGTGCCGTGTGTCGTTGAATCAATCCATTCACATGATTATGTTACATTGTCGTGCTCACGTTTAACGTGTGGGGTAATTTTGAGAACAAATGACCGGTGACGGTCGGACCGCTGGGTCCATGCGTACAGACCCGCTTCTCATTGGCCCACGTGGCGGAAGGGGCAACGTGGAGAGGACGCGTTTCTTTCTTTTGGTTGGTTTGGTTTTGTTTTTGTTTTTGTTTTTGTTTTTGGGTTTTTGATCGCAACTGTTTTTATTTCCTTCACTTTGAAGCTGCGATTTTTCCGGCGGCGCAGCAGCGCCTACAGTGTGAAGTGTGTCACCATGTGTGTATGTGTGTGCCTGCCGCTGAAGAAACTGTCCGCCTCCACGTGCACTCCTTTGCGTCCGTCCGAAACTCAATGGGTTGTTTTTGTTGAGGAAGTGTCCACCCGATGGCATGCATGCGGTCTCCCCCGCACGCATGCATTCCTATGTGCATATATATATATATATATATATTTACAGACACGTGGGCGCGTGTGTGCAGGCACCCCGGCCAATAAATATTTCGCGTGATTTTTGAGTGACACCACCAACCAGGCGCAGAAGCGAGAAACGGAAAGAAAAGAAGGAAAATAAAATAATTAAAAAAAAAAGGCCTGGTGTAGTGAGAAGGCCAGGCGCGGATCCAAGGATAATAAGCGAAAGAATTGAAGAGAAGAAGAGTTTAATATATATATATATATATATTTAATAAAAATAAAAAAAAGAAAAAAAAAAAACAACCGAAGAGGAGAAGAGAATAAAAACAAAACAAAAAAAAAAAAAAAACAAAAAAAAAAAAGAAGGAACACAATGAGATCGAAATGCATAAGAAAAAAAGAGGTCTGAGATACATGAGCCTATGAATTCTTGTAAGGCTTGTGTGTGTGTGTGTGTGTGTTTGTTTGTTTGTGTGTGTCTTTACGGAGAAGGCACAGAAGGCAGAACTCTGCCACGTATCAACTCCCCCTCCACCTTCACTTCCCCTCCAGTGAAGCCTGCGAAGGGCAGTAATAAGAAGAGAAAACATAACTTTTTTTTTTTTTTTTTTTGTTGTTGTGAGTTATTCTTTTTTCCACATGGGGAGAGGGAGGGGGCGGCGGGTTGATACGAGCAACGAAAATTGATGGAGTGAAACACACGACTATGCGGGAGAGAGAGGGAAGAGTGAAATTCCAGAAGGGAAAAAAAAAAATGTAATTGTGGGCGGTAAATTAAGATGATGAAAAACAAAAACAAAAACAAAACAAAAAGAAAAGATAAAAGCCGCTCAGTGAGAGCCGATTTCATTGTGTTTTTTGTTTGTGTGCATAAAAACAGAATAATAATAAAGAAGAATGACAAACGAAGAAACAAACAAAAGGGATGCGAGAAGGTGTGGAGTGAAAAAAAAGGAAAAAAGAAAATTTTTTGAAGGGATGACTGTGGCTGAAAACTTGTGAGAGAGAGAGTGTGTGTGTTGTTATGTGATAGAAGTTACAGCGACGGGAGCACCTGCCCGGCTCTGCAGATGTCGTGGCATTTGCACCACAGAGGGGGAGGGGTTGGAATGGCGGGGAAAATGTGAGAAAAAGGTGACAGGAAAGGACAGAGAGGGAGAGAGAAAAGTAACGGTGTGGATTCGATGCGCGGAATATTTTGTATGAATAAAAAGACAGAGGAGGGAGAAGAAGATGAGGAACGACAACAACACCAGCAAACAGCCCGTGGAAGCAGGGATGTGCATAGAGGGATGTTGTTAGAAATTCTCTAATATATTCTGCGCTGCGGAATTATTACGGCTCAACACTCTTACTATATATGTTTTTTTTTTTCTTTTCTTTTTGTTTTCAGTGTTATTATTATTATTATTATTATTATTATTTATTCTTTTTATGTTGTATGTGTTTCTTCTGTTGGGAGAGGGAGTTGGTTTTTTCGTTTCAAAATTTTTGACGTCACCAATTTTTTTTTTTTTTTCTTTTCTTCTCTGTTTCCTGATGGCTTTCTTGGACCCTGTTGCTTTGTTTCTTGTGTCATTTTCTCTGCGCCCCTCACGCGGGAGGGGGGCGCAAGATGCATTCACGGTCTGGTTGAAACTACGCATTCCCGACATCATCCTCATTTTTTTTTGTTGTTGTTTTTTGTTTCCTATCTTCCCACTCACACGGTTTGGGCGACATGTGTCGTGGAGACCAGCGTCACAAGTACGTTTTACGCCGTGGAGGCAATGTGGGCAGGCACGCACTCCTTCACGGACTGAAATAATAATAATAATAAACAGGCGGAGAGTGTTCTTTTTTTTTTTTTTTTTTTTTTTTATATGCCGTTTTTTTTTTCTTTCTTTTTTTTTGTTTCCTCTTTTGTTGTGTCCCGCGCGTGTCTTCTGGGGGCCTGCCGTACCGCGTGTATTTTGTTTTCGGGTGCCTCAAATGATGACAGGATGAAGCAAGCGAGGGAAGAAAAAAAGTAAGGGGGTATAAGAAACAATAACAACAATAACGAAAAGGTTTTCTCAGCCTGTGACCTGGAAGAAAAAAAGAAAGAAAGAAAGGGATATGTCCTCTGAAGGCGCTGAAGGGAGCGCTTCCAGCGTGGACAGGATGAACGGCGTTGGGATGCCGGTTCTTTTTATCTCCGTGATAGCCATGGCTTTTTTTATGACTCGACGCTTCCTTATTAAAGCTGTTACTTCTGCCTTTGCGGACACAACGTCTTGTCTCTGCTTTTTTTCTGCTGTCGTAAATATGCTGCTTTCGGTGTTTCTTTTCTTCAGCACCGGATTCAATTACGGCCTCGTATCAACAGTGCTGGCCTACTGCATGGTCTTCATCAAGGGCCGAGATAACTTCAACCAATACTTGGTCCATCTGTTGGCAATATACCTGGTGTGGTTTCTTGTATTGGTGGGCATACCAGCGGAGATCAACCACGGCATTATCAGGGCCACAAACAAGGCCGATTGTACGGCATTTTACAACACCTATGCATCAACAATGTGTCTTGATGGCTGGCTGACATTTGTGAAGATCGTTGCATGTTGTGTTCTAGGGTTTACGCTACTGTCTCTGCTTCTTCTTACATCTGAGGTACTTGGCTCAGCGCAGTTGGGTGGGGTTCGGATGCAGAAGTTTGATAATGAAGAGGCCAGAGTGCATGCGGGTGAAGGTAGGGAGTGAGGGTTCTGGTTTGTTCCTGACGCAGAATTACGACTTGGATATAAAGTGACTATCGATGAACAAAAAGTATTGCGCCCCGAATGGATATATGAATCCGGAAGGAGCATGCAATTATTAGATTAACAGTTTGGCAGCTGTTTGAGGGATGCAATGGATTTATGGATCAACGGAACTTATGGTCCATAATTTCTGTTATTTACTTTTTTTTTTTTGTTTTCTGCTCCATTTTTGTGCGTGTACGAGTGAGTTGTTTACTGGTTTTGTTGTTTTTGAGAAGGAATGAAGCACATTGTTTGGAGAGTTACCAAACGGCGTGCGTCCCATGTGCGTTGGATGTGCACATGCGTTTTCAGGTTTTCTAATAGGTGTGTGCGTCTGCCTGTTTATACCTTTTTTGATTGATGTTTTCTGAAAGCGACAGAAGAGTGAGATACACGAAAGGCATAGGACCACAGGAAGCAAGTAAGGAGGGAGGATTACTGGGTGACGAAGGAGGAAAAACGTGGAGGATGGCCAAGGACAAGCCGCAACAAAACCCCGTCTCTGTTGATGATAATCGCATAGACGATTCAATCGCCAGGGGTGACGGCGACAACGCACGGGATTCCGGTGATGGGCCGGGTGACAATTTTCTCTTCACGCCGACGGCCGCTCGCGTTGACGTGCACCCTCTTGTGTTGCTCTCCCTTGTCGATCACTACGCCCGAGTGAACACGAAGGTGACACAGAAGCGCCGCGTTGCCGGTCTTCTTCTTGGTCGGTACAAGCGTCTCCCGGATGGGACGCAGCTGCTGGATATAAACAACAGTTTTGCGGTGCCTTTTGATGAAGACCCACACAATTCGGACGTTTGGTTTGTCGACACAAACTATGCGGACGAGATGTTTCATATGTTTCGCCGTGTGCTACCCAGAGTGCAGGTTGTTGGTTGGTACTCTGCAGGACCGTCCTTTTCTGTTCAACCAAACGACATGCTGCTTCACCTGCTCGTAGCCGATCGTTTTACCGCCAACCCGGTCTATTGCATTGTGAACACGGATCCGGGCAACAAGGGTGTCCCTGTGTTGGCATACACGACGGTTCAGGGACGTGAAGGGGTCCGTTCATTGGAGTTCCGCAACATACCGACACACCTGGGAGCGGAAGAGGCGGAGGAGATAGGCATTGAGCACCTACTGCGTGACCTGACGGACTCCACCATTACAACACTCTCCACGCAGATCCAAGAGCGGGAACTCTCGCTGGCCCACCTCAGTTGTGTCTTGCAGTCTATTGAGGACTACTTGCAAGACGTTGCGGAGGGCCTGATGCCCATTTCTGAGGATGTGCTGAGTGTGCTGCAGGAGCTTATTAGCCTGCAGCCGCACATCTATCACCTCAAAAGATCCACAGAGATGATCCGGCACTCAAACGACCAGGCGATCGCCATGTTTATTGCCGCGATTGGCCGCTGCGTTGGTGCCCTCTACGATGTAATTGCGAATCGACGCCGTATCAACAGTGAGATGGTGGAGGTAAGAGCGCGACGTGAGCAGGCACTGAAGGAGAAGCTGGAGCACGAGCAGCACAAGGCGAAGGAGGTCGTCACGACGGAAAAAGACGAAAACAATAATGCGAAATAGTTGAAGAAGGGGCAACAACGAGGGCGGACGCAAGCAGAAATGTGTAGGAATGTTTGAAGAGTTTTTGAATACGGTGTGGGTGGGCGGCATACACACAGGTGTGCGCATGCAGTTGACAAAAATTGAATGTCTTTTTTTTTTTTTTTTACGTGTGTATTTATCCGTTTTACTTTTTTTTCTTCTTTCTTTTCCTTTTTTTATTGGTTGAATTAGGCAATAAGTCATTGAAATGAATTACCACGGAACCCTGCTATCGCCGTCGGCATGGCCTGTATTTTCTCGCTTTCGTCTGTACTTTGTGTCTGTGTGTGCGACCGTTGCCATTGCTGCCGTTCCCGTGCATGCTGCGGAAGCAGTAGACCGGATGAACGGCATCGGCATGCCAATTCTTTTTTTGGTTATGCTTCTCTGCATTTTGATGAAGTCACGTCGGATTTTGAGAGCTGCCTTTACCGTCTCGTGTGCTGATACAGCAACATGCATCTGTTTTTTTGCTTCCCTTATCAATATGTTGCTTTCAGTTTTTCTTTTCTTTACCACCGCATTCAATTACGGTCTTGTATCAACGGTTTTGGCCTACTGCATGGTTTTTGTGGCGACTTCTGGTCCTTTAGAATTGCACGCGAGGTGGTTTCTTTCCCTATACATGGTGTGGTTTCTTCTTCTTGTAGGCTTTCCGACGGGTTGGGGAAGAGGCATTATCGGTGCCACCAACAGCGATGATTGCGTGGCGTTCTACAGCACCTATGCTTCAACAATGTGTGCCGATGGTTGGTTGACATTTGTGAAGATTCTTGCGTGTCTCAATATTAGTATTACAATGCTTTCGTTAATGCTACTTATTGCGGTTGTGTTGGGCGTCGAGGAGGAATTACTTACGTTTGGGTTGAATGATATATATCGTGGGCGAAATGCATTGGAGACGGGGTTAGCTAGGGAGCAGGCACCGCCGGCCTCATATCATCGCATCTGATTAGAGGAGACGTTGCAATAAAAAGAATACATAAAGTATTGCATGGCATATACATATATATATATATATATATATATAATGTACTTTGTTATTACATTGAGAGGAGTGTTATTTTTGCGCGCAAAAATAGTATAAGAAAAGAAAAAAAGGAACATTTTGGGTAGAAAAAAAGATATTTAGTGGAGGATGAACAATATATAAATATATCTGCATTTATTTGCGCTTTTGAAGGGGAAAAAAAAGTATTTTACGTGTTGTTGTTTATTTTATTTTATTTATTTGTGTATGTGTGTGTCTGCGGCTCCTTTCTGATCGTCGTTTGATTGCCGTTTTGTTTTGTTTTTCATTTTTTTTTTTATTTTTGTTATTTCCGTTCCTCGACTGTCTCTTTTAAAACTTTTGTGCTTTTATTTTTCTGGCACGACGAATGCAGATGGTGACGCAGTGAGAGAAAAATGGATGACAGTTGTTTTACACACGTATACACACATGCGTGTATTTTTATTTATTTATTTATTTATTTATTTATTTATTATTATTTTTTTTTTTTTGGGGGGGGGGGAGGGAGGGAGGGGAGGGGGATCTTGCCTGACTGTCTGCGTTTTTTTTTTTTTTTTTTTTAATTATCATTTTTTTCTTTTCAAGGCATTTGTGCCCCTTGTATTTTCTTTTAAGAGACTGAGAGAGGGAGGGAGGGAGGGAGGGGTGCTTTAACACGGAAGGTGCCACGGAGGAATAGGAGCGGGAAAGAGGTAGACAAAAGAGCAAAGGAAAAAAACAAAACAAAACAAAAAATCGAGTAGCATTTGGGGGTTGGGTTGGGTGACGTTAGATTTATTTTATTTTTTTATATATTTATATAATATATAATATATATATATTGCGGACTAGAGATACGGTGGGGGGTGGGTGAGTGGGGGCAGCTGCGGGGGCGTTTTAACATTTTCATTGACACTCGTAATAAAAAGGTGTCAATTCTGTGAGGGGGAAGTGAGATGAGTGTAGAGGACCAACAATATGATCCGGCCGCGTATGGCGGGCAGCATGTGGTTGGCAACAGCGCTCCTCCTATCGCTTGTTGCCAAAGGTCGAACGCCTGTGAGTCGTCATTGGGCAAAGAGGCGGTTTGTCGTCACTGCAGATGTCCCGCCGAGCGACCCCCGTGTTGCTGCGAGGCGTTCCAGGGGGGTTCTGGGATGCAAAGCCATCATTACCGCGGTGCCAAACATCAAACATCACCATCACATTATCATCATCAACATCATTATAGACAACAGCAAACAGAGGGGGGAGTAGAACAGCTTCAACAAGGCTCTCGGTCATCATCTCGACGCTGCTTTTGCTGCGTTCCAGAGCAGGAGGAGCTGCAGGAGTACGAGCGCCTGGAAAAGGAGCAGAGATATCGTTCAATGCGTGCAGAGCGACAGCAGCTTCAGGCTGCATTATACGATGATTTATTTTGTGGTGTGACCCCCCGACATGAGCCTTCGTCTGATTATTCATACAGACCAAACACAGCCCAACTCCTCCGTTATTCTCAGGGTTCTTTATACCAGCGTGCCGTCGCAATGGAGCAGGAACGCCGGCGACGGGAATTGCGTAAGGAGATTGAGGCGAGGAAAAGGGAGCTGAGCGCGCGTGGGCCCATGCATCAGCCAATTGCTTTCTTTACTTCCGTAGACGGTGTGAAAAGGCCACTTGCCCCTGCTCAACGGGCACGTGGGCGCGCCTTTGCGAACTCCCCTGTGCGTGTGTGCCCCACAACCGGTTTAAAGCAGCACCAGCAACCTGGTCGCAACGTCCAAGCCGCAGCAACGAAGCCGACGGCAGTGGTGAGACCACGCTGCGAGTGTAGAAACCGCGGTTCTTCATACTTGCGTGGGCGGAGGCACCATAAAGAGAGAGATACTCATGTACAAGACACTACGCCTCTTACGGCCGACACCAGTAGGGAGCCCGTGTCTGGGCCACCTGCTGCAAATTCCCTCTCTCGTTGCAGGTGCAAGGAAGTGCAAAAGGCTTCTTCTCCAGCTCCGCCATTACGTGGTGGTCAATACGAGTGTCGTTGTAAACCGTGTAGATGTTGCAGTTGTGCTGAAAAGGCCCACTCTGCGGGTGTTGTTCCCACCGTTTCCCACACTGTGGACGCCATGCCGGAAGCGCCACGACAAAAAGAAGATAAAGAAAAGCCTACTGCACCTTTGCGGGCTGCTACTGCGGTGCCACGGAGGCCATCATCGCTTCCGGCTTGTTTGCGCCGAACTGCCATTGATTACGGCAGGAAGATTTATATCACGGACGATGCACATTTGTCTCGTCGAGCTAAAGTTATTGAGCTGTTGGAGCAGGACGGCTACGTGCGACTCCTGACCCCTACGACGCGCAGTCCAAGTGCACCACTGCCTGAAAAGGCCCGAAGGTGGGCAACGACGCGCAGTACCAGCGCCCATCGCGTGTGTGCCTAAGGGAGAAGGAAGATGAAACAAAGAGAATAGAAAAAAAAAAAAAGCAAAAATAAATGAGGAGTGAGAGTTGGAGGAGATTTTTGAATTCTTCCTTTCCTCCTTGCGTTTGTATTTTGTTATTTTTTATCTTCTACAATTACTGTACCCTTCGGTTGTGTTATTTTTGTTGTTGTTCACGTGTTTTCTGTTTGTACTTTTTTTTAGATGACTTCTTCTGCCTCTGTTTTTTCCTCATTAATAACTTCTCATTTTTGAAGGCGTCTTTCCGTATTACTTTATTATTTGCATTTACCTCAACGAGGGCTTTGCCGGCCCAACGTCAATTGCGTTGTTGCTGTCGCAGGAATAAATCGTGCACTTTACATAAATATATATATTTCCTTGTTTGTGTTTTATCTATTAGCACTCTTCTGTTCTTTTTTTTTTTTTTTCTGCCTTGTTTTGGATTGGCTCATCGTTCCCAAAAAGAGAGACACAGACAGACACAAAGGTACACAAATATACAAAAAGAGACGGGATTCTGTCAAAGATGTGCACCGGCCGCCAGCATTCTTTGGCTGCTGGCATGTGCCAAACCTGCAAAGGGGCTTTTCCAGGTGAAAGTGGCCTGTTTTTTCTGTCGTTTTTCTTTATCTTCTTGACGTGCCTTTTCCAGTGCCACCACTGGCGCCTTCTTCATTTTGTGCTGTCTTTTTTGGCAACATGCGGCTGTGACGCTTTTCATCTCTTTTTTCTTTAATTATTTCAACAAGCATTGCGGAGCCAGAAGGAAGAAGAAAGGGGCATTTGGAGGGGAATCAAGTGAAGAGATAAAAGAGAGGGAAAACGCCGAAACAAATAAAAAGGAACAAAACATTACGTACGCTCCACCCCATTCCCCTTCCCGCCAAAAAAAAAAAAAAAGGGAAAAAGGATAAGGAGTGACACCGACTACGCGGGTAGATTGAAAGAAAAGAGAAAAAAAAAAAAAATCGGCGAAATTATAGAAGAGAACGAAGTAGTTCTTTAAAAAGGGACAGTTTTTTTTTTTTTTCTTTTGCAGTAGTAGTGAAAGGTCTTCCGCAGGGTAGACAACGGCAACCACGATTTGAATAGGAAAAGAGAAAAACGAATCGGAGGAATAGTGTAATAATTGGGAGACGTAACGGTGTGGAAGGATGGTTGTCGTTGCCGGCGGTGCGAGAACAGAAGATGCCCATCTTATCGACGATGAGGGTCAGTTGCTGCCCGTGAATGGGATCGAAGAATACCTGTTCACCGCCCTTGGCGCGTCTCGCGGCGGCGATGCGCTGCACCGTGTGGGCATTACCTATCACGTTGTGGGTGTTCTTGGTGGGCAGAGCAGTGGGAAATCGACACTGCTGAATTGCCTCTTTGGCACCAAATTTCAAACGATGGATGAGACAAGGAGGAGAGGCCAAACAACGAAAGGCGCCTTCATCTCACGTGCTAATTTTGAAGTCTTGTGTGGCGACGACGGCGAAATGGATGCAGGTGCATCGGCGCTGATGGAATCATGTGCTGGGAAGTCCTTGCCTCTGTTCGTGGTGGACTTTGAGGGCACCGATGGCTTTGAGCGTGGAGAGGATCAAAGCTTTGAGCGGCAGCTCTCTCTCTTTGCACTCAGTGTTGCCGATGTTCTTCTTATCAACATGTGGGCTGTTGATGTGGGTCGTTTTAATGCGGCCAACATGAGTCTTTTGCGTACCATTTTTGAGGTGAACCTGCAGCTGTTTTCACACGACAGCTACACAAAGGAAGAGAAACCGACGCTTCTCGTAGTGCTGCGTGACTTCACAGAAGTCGACACCAGGACCCACTTCGAAACGGTCCGAAAATCTTTTGATAAAATATGGGATAACATAGTGAAACCAGAGGCGTTCAAAAACTCTACCATTGATACCCTCTTTGATCTACGCTACCACGTGCTCCCACACTTCAAACTGCAACGTGCTGCATTCGACAAGGAAACGGCGAAGTTTCGTCAATGGTTTTACTTGTCGACGTGCGATGAATATTTGTTTCACACTCGGGGCATGTTTCGTGGCGTACCCCTTGATGGAATTCCGTCCTACCTCTCAAGCTGCTGGGAGATGATCCGCAAGAGCAAAGACCTTGACATTCCAACGCAACGTGAGATGCTGGCAAGGCACCGTTGCTTGGAGGTGAAAAAACAAATTCTCCAATTATTTACGGAATTTTGCTCCAATTATACGGAACGTTTGCAGCGTGGTGAGCTTGTGACACATCTCACTTCTTTGCTTGAGCGCGATGTGGAAGATAAGCTGCGTGATTTTCACCAACAAACGAGGCTATACAGGGTAGACATTGTGCGGAAGACCGAGGCTGAACTTGAAGAGGAGCTCTTGAAGGTGGAGCTGAAACT